TTACATTTCTTAGCACAAACGTATATATAGAAGTACGATATATGTCCACGATCCTAATTTCCAACCACATTCCCATACCTAAAACGCAACTAGTCGTGCGCTAGAGCGACCGCTAATTGAAAATATACGTGTACAAACATGTTGCAAATTAAGTGCTGAAAACAGCATTACAGTGATTCACTGTAATTAAGACAATTTGGTTATGAAAACAATCCATATCAGATCAATCCTAGTAGTAATATGCGAAGCAGTGCTTTCGATTGGTTTGAATCTACAGAAATTTTGAATGGTATGGTTCAGTTTTCGTTTTTTCTACCCACTTAATAACGCGCGTACCGGTATTAATCCATCGCCTAGCGCTGCCTGCATAAAACTGTCGCTCGCCGCAATCTGTTCACCGTATGCCGCGGCGCAAGCTGCTCTCACATTGCCGGCAGCCTGCTGGAAACTGATGCTGTGCTCTCGGGCCAAATCCCAGAAACGGACAACGATGGGCGATAAGACGACCGAATGGGTCAGCAGATCGGGGCTCGCACGCGGCAACAAATCGGTGCATTGTATACCCACATCTGAAAAGCAAAGGTCAAATATACATCTGAACTGAGAATCTGATATGCCATTTTTTCTTCATTTAATAATAATTTATAGGTGCCATGACTAGGTATAAGGCATAAAAATACGGTTTGAACGGGAAGATTACAAATTTTAATCCACAGTAAACAAAAAGCAACAAAGCCAGGATAATAATGCACTTCGTAATACATCGAAACACAGGCGCGTACACCTATTGTAACAAAAGCCTATCTGGCTGCTGTTCAAGTTTTTTTTTTAATGTGTTGTTGTTTCAATTATGCTAAGCCAGTTTAAACATCCAAACACACACAAGCGTCACACAGCATCAAAAGACAGCGGAAACATGCGGCTGTTCAAGTAGGTTGGCGATCAGCATTTACCACGATTATGCGGCTGTTGGGATGAAAGGTGGCACGGTCGGCAACGACGCCGGCCGAGGATGCCCTTACTGATGCAAAAAATTACACAGGTAGCTACGACTGGGATGACACTGGTTCATCCCAAGCAACAACGTAATTCAAGGTTTGTTTAATGACAAGGGCAATGCAAGAAACGGAGCAAGGTTTAGGGCAAGAGATTAGGACACGGTTGATCAAGCTGATGCGAGCTGTAACAAGCTGAGTACAAGACTGAATTCTAGAAATTCATGAGGGAAAGTTTGGGAAATCAGGCGGTAAACTCGACAAAATCCATAACGCGATGGAATGGTGAATCATAACTGGGTGGTCTTATCGTTCGCACAAAATTAATACTATCGCTATACTATCATACTAACCGCAACTTCGCGCCAGATCGCGGATAGCTGCTGGGGCTGTTGTACGAATGCTGCGTTGGCTGAACCGACCTCCTTCTCCAAGAATGACTGTGTTAGACGCTGGTGTTGCCGTATGCGATGCTGTGCTGCGTCTTGAACAAAATGTTGGAACACCTTTAGCACCTGCAAAACCACCTGTTATTGTTGAGGGCCATTTACAATACTCATAACTGTAAGGTGCGCAAAACTATAAGTAACACACCGAGTTACAGATATATTTGTGCCGATTAGTATTCTACATGTGTACGTATCTATACTTATTAATTTCGTTTGAGCCATACAGAAACACAAAGTGGCTGCTAACATTAAGAAGTTCCGGAGTTGCCTGTAGTACGGTATTACAGACAACTCTGGCTCCGATACTAGAGTAGGTATTAGGTACTACCTGGTATACGGCATCGTATTACCTCCAGATTGCTGTCATATTACCTCTGTCAGATGGCAAATTCTCATTTTGTAGCTGCTCATCAAGCGCTCGCGTTGTACCTGAAGATAACACCTATCAGTCGTAAACTGAGCATGAACAATAATTATGAAAGAAGAGTTTGTAAGAACCTCTGTATTTGTGGTCCTGTCTGTACATACCGATCACGTTCGCACGAGAAGATGATGCCCGGGCTGATGGCGCAGTGGTATCCTGTGTTCGGTGCTTTTTCCGCCGCAGATATTTACCGGCCGGGGCGTTTTGCGGGAAATTTTGTGGTTCAAGCAGCATGGAAACCGTCTGCGACCGTTTCCCGGAAGTCTGCAAACGCAAATCTGTATAAAATTATTAAAAAAGTTAAGTGCGCTAGATATGTTGGTCGATTGGTGCTTAGTTTCACCCAGCTCAATTTACTCAATCAAATTGGTACGAGGCCGATACTCTGTTCGCTCGTAGTCGGATTGGTTTTTATGCTCATAAAAGTAATATGACAGAACGTGGTACACCAAAAATCTGGCTTTCTAACCTAGCTCCGGGTTTGATTTACGAATGCCGAAACATGATCAATCTCTGATATACATGCTTCGCACACCACCATAATTGTTTGCTGATGGTATGATGAACGAATTGTGCTACTTTGAAGCAAAACTATGTGGTACAAGGGAAGCGAAACTATGTGGTACAAGGCTATGGATTAAAAAAAGGGATATACTCGCACAGTATTGTGAAAAATTAGTAATAATAGCAGTGTGCATTTGCAGATCATGTATTCGCTAATCACGCCTGCACTGGCTTACCGCTGCACATTTCGCGCATAGTTTACCGTCATGTAACGGTCCGTGCCGGAATGTGGATTTGCCGCAAGTATCACACGTAAAAATAATTTCCCGTGTGCATTTATCCCGAGGTCCCGGATTAGCCATGCGTTCGTCCATGTATGAGAAAATATAACGTTATGATACAGAGAGTCTTCAGCCAAGTGCGTCCACTTTCTGAACAACTGTAGTGATTGTACTCGAAAGCGTGTAAAATGGTTTGGTAGGTGCTGTCAACGAATTTGAGTGCCTCTACTCCCACGCAGAGTAAAGGAATAAGGAATATTTCTCTGTACAAGTATGCAGGAAATGGCAACTGGCAAATTCCACGCAAAACCGTCTGGATGCCGGCAGCTGAGAGAGAAGCCAAATAGCTGCCAAATCCCACCGTAAACATCGTCCTTGCAACGGCTTTCATTAGCGGATAATAAGTGAATCAAAAGCGACTGGGAAAATAGAAGGCCATGACGTGCATAATCCGTATAACAGCTAACAGCTCGCTACGGTTTAATCAGCCACCAAGGTATTTCCACGCCGTTTAAAATGAAGTTTCGGGTTCCTCTAGCACACAACACGACTCTCACGATGACCGGCAATTTCCGAAATTAAATAGTTATTGATCCGTGGTTTGTCGTGTTAGTAACTTGACAGTAACAATTACCCATGACGATGATAATTGGCTGAGTGTTTGCACTGTATACTTATATATGCCGGTGTTGTCGCCTGTAAAGGTTCACCGATTTGTAGAACACGACAACAATCACAGACGAAGACTTAAAGGTTATAATACGATGCGAACACTCGCTTAAGCATGTGGAAACATTCTCTGTAGAAAGCAGACAGACTGGAATGGAGGATAAGGAAAGACAGTCGGACTTCTACGTACCAAGCTCCCGTCATAAATCTAACGTAAAAATTTAACTGATAGGAAGAAATCAGTTCCTTCAGATCTGGCGACTTCGGGAGTCAGGAAATTTTGTTGGCGTTTAGTTGACTAAAAACCTTTCACCAGAATTAACGATGCAGTCAGTAGTAAGTTATAAGTTAGTAACATGATCATCTGGACGGCTGGCTTGAAAACCGTTTGCGCTCGTAAACGTCCGCTTGTTGAGATATGGTAACGAATTAAACGAACAAAAGGTTAAACGTGTTGTAGTGCACCGAAACTCGCACTATCCTATATATCCTGAAAAGTTGCGGTAAAAAAGGCAACCTGCGCAAGTGCGACCTTTCGGTGAATGACCTTGTCGAGCAGTCAAACATATGGTAGCTGTCTATACTGCAGCGGATGTAATGTTGTGAAGCCGCTGTCCGTGTTTACTACAGATACCTGTTATGCCTTATTGACTGTTAAGATTTTTTAAAGCCGGCTATGCTGGCTGGATTTTTTATAAGCTGGCTATTTTCCTTAACCTGACTTCAGCTTGGCTCTCTGGTTTTCCCGCTCGGGGCGATTTAATAACTGTGCGATTGGACGAGAGTGATCCGGTGTTTTGAACTTTTCTCACTAGAGTTACGGTAATCTCAGCTGATCTGGTGTCGCGCTTGCGTCCTACTGTGACCTCCACCGCTAAAACCTCCTTCGTAGCGCTGTATAGCAATTCGAGTTGAGATGCTCTAGCTCCGTTTTTCTACACGGAGTAGCCCAATTTCGATTTTCTTCCTAATATTGTCGTCAGAGCTCAACTGTCGGTTTTGAATATGGTAACGAACTTCGCAAGGAGCACGGGTGCCAGCAGGTACACACGTTGTACTCGGTATTTGTTCAAAGAACTGGCATTGTCAGTTTTGAAAGGTACTCGTATGTTTACTGCTGTACGAACTCTTATTTTTAAGAATGCAAGCATCGAGTGCGATAAAGCAGTGCGACGAGAAATGGATGCCTGGGTAACATCGCGAGAAAAATCACGGTTATCGATTTGTCCTGACTATCGTGTTATTACGTAAGACGATGCTAAATGTGCAAAACAGAGCGCAAAATACGCTTGCGAATTTGCTGTGCCTTATACGTACAATGGAAATATTTGGAAAAACAGATTTTGCCCACAATGGCCCTACACAATGTAGGTTAGCAGTTTTCTCCCCAGTTGGTCGATCTTCCATAGGCGTCCATAGGATGAACGCATAGGTACCGGTACTGTAGCGGGTTAATTAGTTTAGCGTGCGCACCGTTCTATGTATTAGGCTTTCTTTTCGAAAAAAAAGCTTTCCAAATCACGACAGCTGATGCCATCTACAAAATGCTACAAATGCAGTGCTCCTAGTTACAATTTTTCGGAGGGAAATGAATGTTGATGGCATCAGTACACAATTAAAGCAGCGACACACGGATTAACAAGCGCAGCAGACAGCAGCGGCAATAGTATTCCCAAACGACCCGGGCGTTCCTGGCATATCGCAATCGATAAAAAAAAGTGGAACAATAAAAAGAAAAATTTTAAAGTTAAAAAAACAATTTAAAAGAGGGAAAACATTCGGTCAGCTGAGGCTACAACAATTTAAAATGCAGCTAAACCATCACAGGGCTAATAATACGCCAAAAAGGGCCAGTGCACAGGAGATTCTTTATCCGCACCGTTATAATCTGAGAACACATAGGTATCTATATAATTAACGTTAATCTGGTTTTTTGTACGGCATCACCCCAGCCTACCCGCGGGCCCAAGACAGTCTCGAAAGGCCGCCGAGCGCGGCTGCACCGGCACGACACTGACATCCAGATCGCCGACAAACTGCATGGAGATGCGGTCGCAGGTGGGGAACAGGCGGATGACGCTTTCCACTTGACTGTACACGCCGGAGCGCAGCTGCAGCGGTACACGGTGTCCGATCATGTAGAACAGCGCATCCAGGTAGTACGCGTACATGAATTCCATCGTGAGTTTACTCGAGGCGGTGGTGACCTCTGTAAAAAAAAATTCAAATGCGCATGTATAAAATTATATCCCTGATTCGGTCAAATAAATTTTAATCAGCCAAACACACCGCATTAAAGGTTACCATTAAAATAAAATAATTTTTCAAATAAGTATTTATATGGCAGTTCTATTAATATAGATAACTGTTTTATGCAATAGGAGTATTTATATAATTTTATTAAATTAAAATATTAGGGCTGTTTAATTAACTACTCGTATATCAGTTTAATTAATATATTAGCTCCCAACTGACCGGGAGAGTATAATACTTAATTACAGACCGGATAAGCACGGTCAAACTATTTTCAAATATTTAGCAAATAATTACTTATACCATCGTTTAATGAATTTTACTTCAATTTAATTAAGTGCCAATTCACAACGAACCTGGACAAAATACTGCCGCCGACAGCAGCAAATACTTCTCCGTGGTGGTCAAGCCGATGCTGTTGACCTGTACGTAGAAGGCTTCATTGAAGGAAATAAAGTCCGGATCGAAGCCGAGCACTTCCAGCCAGTAGCGGCAATTATGCAGACTATCTTCGCCGGCCATGTACCAGTAGTGTTCGCCTTTGTGGAAATATTTGGACACGTTCAGCTGAATTATAGAAGTTTCATTTTCAATCCCTGGACAGTGAACAACCGGAAACAAACGTTAATTAACGATAATTAAATGTCAATTAATGGTTAACTTCTGTTAGCGCTTGCGGGTAGCATACAATCGGCTGGAAATAAAATACTCGTATCAACGACTCCACATTACTAAAAATAAGTCTAACAATATTCACAACAGTAGTTATACCATAACATTAAATATAAATTCATGCTTCAGTACTTACCATGTTGATCCACTCTTATTTTATTTTTATTTGTCCATTAAAAAATGCCGACCGCGAGTTTACCTACAAAAAGGTTATGCAGGTAGGTACGAACCAGATTACATATCAGGTACTTTTCCCTTAGGAGAGTTTTCTGATCTTCTTCACTGAAATTCCCGAATCCCGGCAGGAAAGATGCAAAACGCCCCAGACGTCGAACCTGATCGGTGATGCAGTTCTCGATGGCCATCAGGGCGCGTGCCGGAGTGGTCTGCGGCTGGTGCTAGATATAAAACGCAACCGGTCATTAAAACATTTTTTCACATCACTGTTTTCGCTGTACAAACAACAGACAAAAATTCTTCAAAGAATTCAGCTTTATTCCATTTATTATTTAAGTAAAGCGCAGGTATTAATTATTACGGTATTAAGTATTTACAAATACTTATCAAGTATTTATAAATACTTAAATATTCACTAAAGTGCAGATATAGCAGCATTTATTCGTTAATAATTCAGGTAAAGTACAGATACGACAGTGTGTATTTAAAGAACAGAATAATTAACAGAATCTTGTAATCGTACCGAAAATAAAAACGACCGGCATGCAGTAAAACAGGGAGGTTAATTATCTGATTGATATTAACAATAACTAATAAGAACAACATTATACGGTACACATATTGTATTTTATTGTTTATATTTAATTACTGTATATAGAGTATACATTTTATTTTTACTGTATATATTCATATGCATATATTTACATCATATACATATATTATTTACAATATTAAATGACACTGTTGTACGTTAACTTCAGCTGTTCGATAACAGCCCAGTCGTCCTTAGCACTTTGCACTTACCGGCACCAGTCCCTCGCACACTGCCAGCTGCATAAAATCATCAAAAGCCTGAATCTGGTCGCCGTAGGCCGCTGCCTGGGCGATGGCAATACCGCCAGCCGCCTGCTGCAGCAGGACGCTCTTTTCGCGTGTCAGATCCCAGTAGCGGGCCACAATGGGCGACAGACGGGCGGCGGTCTCCTGGGCGGCCGCCAGGCGGGCCGAAACACTGGACGGAGAGCGTAATACCGCTGATTCGATGCCGCTGTCTACAGAAAGAAATTACAAAACATCACGAAATTACTTTATTATGTATTCCAAAATTTAAAAGGCAAACATACGCTAGCAAAATTAACAATCTACCAAAGAGACAGAATTAAACATAAATCACTTTCAAATCTATAAAGAATGAAATGTTTCTAGGCGAGTATCGTTGAGATTTGTCGATAAAATACTGTAAGTTAAAATGCGAAATTTTGTCACACATGCTGTATACAAAAACCAGCCGAAAGATTCCAAATTTAAATATTGTGTGTGAAAATGAACTCATAAGTAACTAATACAGAGCATCCATAACTTTGCACGCAGTCACAAACCACAAATACGAGTACCGCGAGTATTGATAAACCACTTAAGCAATAGAATACTTCGTACAGATACTTAATACTATGTAGTGTGTCTAAAGAACCATTAATAAAGAATTCATATTAATTTTATCGTTTTCTCTGCTTATTTATATGGGCTGCCCGCTGAGTTAAGTAATTGTTAAGGAAGGAAAGTCATAAGGGAAGGAATAAGGAAAGTCTCATATGTACCCGCAGAATCCACACGACTGCGGTAAATGACCGATACGGTTCTGCTGGGCGAGGGACCAGCAGCGGCGGCCGCACTAAATCGGCCTTTCTCCACTGCACAGGCACTCGTGCTGGGGATGGGCGCGGACGTGGCGGCAGCGTGTGAGACGCCTCCGGAATGGCGCTCACGTGACGAGCATTCTCCAACATCTACACGCAGTAAATTACGTGAAAAATCCGAGGACAGCATCGTGGATCAGAAAGCTGGTAAAAATCAGCCAGTATCAAATCAAGATGGACACCACAAGTCTTCGTGTATTTGCTGATCTGGCAGTGAAAGAACTGGGCGAATCAAAATTACCACCTTCCGATTATCATAAAACTGAATTTATACAACTGGAAACGTGGAAAGCAATCGCAAAAAATTCCCTGGTATAGCCAGCAGCGATGCGAGCAGGTGAGTAACCGTGCTGGAAACTTCGCGAAGCCATGATGCTGATCGCCAGTCGCCACCGAGGCCATCAGTTGGCATCAAGCATTTAAGCATCACGTGGCTGTTAGCCTGGTTAATTAAACGCCCACCCAAGCAGCTTGATAGTGGATATTGCAAGCGGCCATGCTGCACTGCTGCCCGCGGATGCCAGACCACACTTTTTTGGTACTTCAAGTACGCTGTACTGTACAGTGTACATGTGCTAGCCTAGAGCCTAAGTACTTCGATTTTATACGACAGTATCCAGTTCGCTTTCTGGTAAGCTTCTGTTAAGAATGATTTGATATAGTCTAAATCATTGAAAGACGACCAGACAGGTGAAAATCTTTCAGTGTACCTGAAACAGCAGCTGTATTTCTCTTGCAAGCGCCACACTGTCTCAAGAACGCCGTGGAACCAGGTTCGCCGGTATTTAATACACTTGTACAGAATCATTAGAATGCGTGGTACTTGTCGCAGATGTCTGCCTCTTGGATTTCTCTGTATTGTCGGCCAAACGAGTTTCTCATGATTGAACGGATCGAAGAACTCACCCGGGGCCCGTTGCGGGTCGGACTGGCTAGATGCTGCTGCGGAAGGGACTGCAGTCACTGCAACGATGAACGAAATTGCATGGACCATGGTACAAACTACAGTCTGTAATTTTATAAAGTTTAGTGTACTCCATCACTCTAGACAGTAGTTACCTACCTTGCTGCACTGCCGTGCGCGTGCGGGGGTTCAATTTCATCCCGGCTGCCAGACACTTACGCAATCGGCAGGCTTTGCACATGGGTTTCGCGCTGGCTGGTGTCGGGCACATGTTGTATAATGCGCACTTGTAACTGTACTGCGGGAGAACTTTTGATGCCCGTAAAAAGAATGCCTGTTAAAGAAAGAAAGCTATTTGACCGTCATGCTACTCTGTCATACGGACTGTACGCGGCCAAGCCGTAACGTTACGGTACTAACTAGTAACTACCAACAGTACCAAGTACCAAATACAAAGGCGAAGCGGAAAATCCGGTACTTGTTGTCGACGCCCGGCGGGAGTGTGAACTTGCAGCCGAACATGGTGCTAATGCACAACGTACAGATACACAGCGCGCCGGTGTATTAATGATATTAATTATTGTAGCCGCAGCGTCGCACTTTAGCCGGATCGATAAATGACATCAAGTGTAGGATTAACAGAGCTTTGTTGTTGTCAATCCCTTTTGTTTGGTACGAGTAGATAACTCCCGTTATTTGAATCATAACTGAGAATGTTCAACTAAATTCACTATTACAATTGCGTACCAGTGAAGAATTTAATAAAATTCTGACCTGGAATTATACGAGTAAAGAAAAATAAGTATACTGTAAACAAATCTGTCACCAGAGTATCAGAAGAATATTGGACAGGATTCGGCGCGATCTTGTCATGTTATGTAAATTGTTTTTACGAAATAAAAGTAAAAATGCTGTCAAATCTTACCGCACAGCTGTTACACACTTTGCCGCCGTACAGCAGCCCGTGGCCAATGGTCGATCGACCGCAGACACAGCAGACATCAGTGGATGACCGACTACATCCGCCAGTCTCGTCCGGTAACTGTACAATATTGTCCGGATTGACCGACCCCATCGTACGTATACAAACTGGTCGCCCACGCCTAGTCACTAGTCAGTAATATAGATCGTCAAATTGCATGTTATACGAAACTATTACATGCAGAAAAGAAGATCGTCTCGGATGTATATAACATCTTATCACAGGTTGTATGGCGACTTCTGGCGCGCTGTCGCGCGTTATATAAGCACCCAGATAAAAATCAGCACGCCGAGCGGATTTCCCACATTAACGGGTACGCCGATATGGGCAACAACAAGATGATGTGCCATCCGGAAGCTGGTACCGCACGTGAAGCGCTCATTAAGAAATATAACAACCACGTTCGCACAACGGCATTTAGTCCAATCAAAACAGTGGCAAAATGCCGTAATGAACACCAGTACACCTGCGTCTTCCCGGCCGCATTTAAATATTTAATTTCGCGTTCTGTTCGATCGGTATGTTTGCGCGAAATACGGGTCAACAATGAATTGAAGACATGGCCGTAAAACGCAGTCACACGTGAACTCAGCGAGATACGTTGACGTCGACCGGCAATAACCGAAGCTAAATATTACGTAGTTACGACATCGTTCTGCGTTAGACATTGCAGCGGATGATTCAGGGATGAATGATTAATTGTTAATTGGTGTTGTTGGATGCGCTGATTATAAGCGCCAGTTTTAGTCTGGACTGGAGATAGAAAGGAATAACAGACTGCCCTCGATGCGTCTTAATATAATTACGCCTCGCTGCTTAGCGTCCCGAATTACCGTAATAATTATACCGGGTGCAGCGCGCAGGTACCTATAGGCTAATCTAGGGCACTGCAACCGCCCTTTGTAATTTACGTCGTTATCGATCCATCCGGAAGCCATACCGGGGCGCGTGTGTCGGGCAAAGACGGGGCCGGCATGCGCAGCGTTAACGTATAATCATACCGAAATCCTTACTCTAGGGAGTGTATAAGTGAGGCCTGCGTCGCGTTGGCCGACACAACGCATCCGCCTGGACTGCCGGCCGGGTGCGACCGCAATCCGGGATAATTGCGTCGGTGGTGTATTCGATAATTTCATTTGGGTTCAGTGGATCAATGATTACGTAAACATTGTTTTGCGTTGTTGTGTGCCGGTGCGTCAGCGTGCGCGTCGCGTATCCGATACGTTAACGTCCCGGATGCATACCAGACCAACACGTTATCGGTGACCTTATGTAGTTATGCACGGGGTGCCGGACACACCACCTTTTTGTTTATTTGATTACTTAGCGAGCGGTACATGTTGTATTATATATATGTACACAAATATATCTAGGAAAATGCACAGTTGAATGCATTTTTAGATCGCAGTGCTGCTGTTGGTCAGCGTTGACCTTTGATACTTGCCAAACTGCACTATATCTGAGTTTATTTACACAACTAACGTTTTCGACTTACTGCAGTACTAACTCGTAAGTTGTAAATAATAATTTCCCACATTTCCATAACAGGCAAATAGAAATAGACTTTTACCCCTTCATCGCTGCGCTTTGGTCGATCCTGTATTTATGGACTAAAAATAAAGCCAAAATGCGTACTATATAATTAAATCAAATCCAGATTTTTTTTGACCTTTTTTTTGACCTTTCAAATCCAGAAATTAAAATTATCCTCTTCCTGCTGTAATAATAATAAAATCAGTCATTCCAACATCCAGAAGGTATCTGAGGAAGGCCGATTGGGATCATGGTTTTCAAGTGCGACCTGTGTCCTAAAGTGTGCAAATCAGCCCACGGTCTAACTGCGCATCGCGACTCAGCAGTATGCAAGAAGGCTCAACGCAAAGCTCTCCGTCTCGGACCATCAGTAGCCTCTCAGCCTGCAGCTGGCTCCTCTCACTCTACTCCCAAAGCTCCAGTGCCTTTTCCTGCCACCACAGCCAACAATTCGGCGGGAGCAGCACCCACTCCGCCTCCTACGCAAAGAACGTTTCAACCTTCGAAAGAGCGGGTTCTACGCCGCATCCCGCACGGAGCGCGACCCGCTGCCAGAATCTCTCTGCAAAAGGCGCTGCAGCAAATTGCGACTAAGAACGATAGCAAATCCTGGCTGAAACTGTTTGCCTTTGCGCCGTCAGCGCTTCGTCTACCTGCCAAGACAAAGTCCGAACGTACGAGCTCCTTGGCTACTGCGGTCAAAAAAAATCTGGATTTATACGACCGCGACGTAGAGGTCCCTCGGTCACAGCCTCCTCGAACCAAGAAAAAATGGAGCTCCGACGAAGACGTGGCCCGTCGCGTTGGTCAGAAAATCGACGACGGTTCCGTCTCCGGGACTATGCGTGTCGTGATGTCCACGGATTCAATCGCGGTTATCACCCCGGAAACTCTGAAAGAGCTCAGGGCTAAACACCCTGAAAGCGGCCTTCCGTGCGTTACTCCTCCTGCAGCTGACTCGCCACCAGCGCCACCTGTAAGCGCCGCGGATGTATTCGCTGCCATCCACAGCTTTCCTCGGGGATCTGCCGGTGGACCGGACGGTTTGCGCCCGCAGCATCTCCTAGACATTGTAGGGTCGAAAATGGACGCTCACAGCGGTCAATTCTGCGAAACTGTGGCATCCGTCCTCAACATTGTTCTCACCGGTGAAGTTCCTGCCGATATTCGTCCTGCATTTTTCGGCGGAAAGCTGCTGGCTCTGCGGAAGAAGGATGGCGGCCTGCGCCCTATAGCGGTTGGCATGACGTTGCGCCGTCTGTTGGCAAAGATCGTTTGCACTAGCGTAGCCGAGCGGGCGACCGCCATACTTTCGCCAAAGCAACTTGGCTTCAACGTGCGTGGTGGAGCTGAAGCCATAGTCCACGGTACCAGACTCTTTCTCAACGCATCACCAGACACAACTAAAGCGCTCGTGAAGGTAGATTTTCGGAACGCGTTCAATACAGTGTCTAGAGAAGTGGTACTCAACGCTGTGAAATCTCATTTCCCGGAATACTACGCCTTTTTCCACTCAGCTTATGGATACCACTCATCACTGTTTGTCGACGATCACATTCTTTCTTCTGAAACTGGAGTGCAGCAGGGTGATCCGCTGGGACCGTTACTGTTTTGCCTTGCTTTGCACGCGATTATTGCCACACTGGACTCCGAGTTCAACTCCTGGTACTTCGATGATGGGACTCTGGGCGGCCTTCCCGGAAACGTGTTGGAAAATTTCGCACGAATAGTCGAACGCGCGCGGGCTGTTGGTTTGGAAATAAACATTGCCAAGTGCGAGTTGTACGTTACAGGCGGGACCGAATGTTTACAACGGGAGGCTGTTAATGATTTCCTCGCACGACATCCGGGTATTCGTATTATGTCAACTTCTAGTCTGACACTGCTCGGAGCTCCTGTTTTAGACGAAGCGATCGCTCCGATGTTTGCAGAGAAAGCGGCGGCTTTAACTGTTGTATCCGAGCGGATGCAGCTACTTCCTCGTCACCATGCCCTATACTTATTGAGACATTGCCTTGGTGCGCCTAAGATCATTTACATGTTAAGGTGCTGCAATGCCTGGAAGTATCCGCATCAACTGTACAAGATCGATGAAGTTTTACGTTCTTGCTTCCAATTGCTGTGCAATGCCCGAACCAATCACGATGATTACCCGAGCTGGCGGCGAGCAAGCTTACCGGTTAGCAGAGGTGGTATTGGTATACGTCGATCGGAAGAATTAGCGCTCCCGGCTTATCTGGCCTCGATTCATTCCGTAACCGGCTTAGTATCCTTGCTGCTTCCCGAACGATCGGCGGTGGATGTCACTGAAGCTCAGGAGATGTGGAAGGCGAAAGCTCGCCAAGCTGAATTGCCCGAACTTGGCTTTCGCAAATTGCAGAAAACTTGGGATCTACCTTTGTGTAACACGTCTCTGTCCAGTCTACTTGAGTTGTTTCACGACGACGAGATCAACAAAGCCCGCCTTCTTGCCCAGTCAACGCCGGAAGCCGGTGTCTGGCTCAACGCGCTGCCCTCCGCTCATATTGGCAACCTACTTGACGATGATACGCTCAAAATCTCTGTCGGACTGAGACTTGGTGCTGTGATCTGTGATCCGCATGAATGTATGAAGTGCCACAAACCAGTTGATGGACAAGCGCATCACGGCCTATCGTGCCTTTTTTCGGCTGGCAGGCATCCGCGCCATGGTGCTCTCAACAGTATTGTATGCCGCGCCTTCGTCTCGGCTGGCATCCCAGCTAAACTTGAACCACGCGGCACCTCTCACACGAGTGAACGACGTCCGGATGGTTGTACAACCTTCGCGTGGAAAAGGGGAATGTGCCTGGTGTGGGATGTCACATGCGTCGATACTGTCGCTGCTTCCCATGTCAAGTCCACTTCGACAAATGCGGGAGCGGCCGCTATTCTGGCGGAAGAAAAGAAGTCAAGAACGTACTTGTATTTGAACGGCAGATACATTTTCGCCCCGATAGCTTTCGAAACAATGGGGTCGTGGGGACCATCGGCTATCGCCCTTATCAAGGAGCTAGGAAAGCGCCTGCGGGACCACACAGGAGAAAAACGCTCGCATGAATTCCTCCGACAGCGACTTTCTCTGGAGATACAACGGGGCAATGCGGCGTCAGTCATGGGTACAATGGGGGAAGCGGAAAAGTTAAATGAACTCTGGATGTTATAAAGTGTAGCTTTTTCGCTTGCTCTCAATGTTTGTTTTTACTGGTTCTTTTTGTGTTTCGGGTTTCATCAATAAAGACTGACGTTAAATCATAATGCATGATGGCTTATTGTTGCGAATGCAGTATTTACAGCCTGATCAAGGATACGTGTACGTACTCGAGGTGTTCAGAAAATGGAAACCGATAAGCATACTCTACAATTATTATGTTAACAAAATACAATTTTGTACTTGTCAATAGCTCAGTGTGTTACGCAGCAGTTTTATTTCTTTTAAAAACATTATATACAAAATGTACAAAAACGCGAAACTAAAAAATAGCATTGCGAGGGAAACGCATTAAAACAGCATGTTACAAACCAAGCTTCTTAACATACGTGTAATGTATCGGTGTAAAGTGTGCGTACTGCATCTTTGTCAGGAAATTAAACGGCAGCTCTAGTAAAAACACCACCGCCACAATGTACCACTGCCAGGTGAGAAAAAACGGCCGGCCGGGTGTCGAACAGTACAGGATTTCGCGCTGAAATCCCGGGATCTCTAGCGATTCATGTAGCTGATAATGTTTGCCTCGCCAACGGTTATCCTGGATAAACGCATAACGTTGCCGGTTGAACGTGGCTTCGGTGTCGTTGTCCGACAGGATGAACTGCTTGTGAAACGCGATGCGCCCCCGCGGCACTGTGCTCAGCGCGGCCAACGGCGCCGCCTCGGAGATGTCACTCCAGGAATCAAATTCCATGACCTTTCGACCGGTCCACGTTGTTACCTTTTCTTTGTGCGTGTCGTCAGCGGCGCTGCTTTGGACCAATCCACGCGAGCTGCTCCTCGTTTCGTAATGATAGCATTCCATGTCCCACACGATGAAGGGACGACCTTTACCGTCAAAAGAAACCGGCATTTTAATTTTTCAATTATCATCGGATTTTACAGTGTGCTTGCTTTGTATTTAATTAATGAGTTTATAAAAATCGTCAGGTAAACGACAACGTTTGCTTTTGTAAAAGTAGGTTATAAAAATCACATGATTAACGATTTTCCACACTTCAAATTGTTAAGCCTGAAGATTCCGGTATCACGTTGTTTGGGTAATAAAATTAGCCATAAAATGCGATGATTCATGTTCGACTCGTCTTTATATGCGAGACACTCAATATTTTTATATCCTCGTTATAAGCCATAAAATCCAGTGAACTTCCTCTATAAACACGATGCATGCCGTCGCACAACCTGTTCTGCATACTATTATTGCCCAAAGATAATACGGCGTTGTAAATACGAAGCTGCTATATGTTTTTCAATTATTTTGACTTCCTACTCAAAATAAGCAAATCAGTGCTGAGCTTAACTACAAATAATTGATATACTTCGTTTAAATCGATGGCTTGTTTGAGAGGGAAAAATAATAATATTATAAACATTAGTATTGCAACTAATGTGGTAACCACATACAAGTCTACAGCTGACTAATTACATGTAAGACGATAATGCAACGAAGGCAATTTCTTCCACCTATTCTACGATACTGCAGCTCAATAGAAAATGATCAGTAAAAGCTAAAAAAGAAGCCTTGCAACAAGTATAACTAATGGCGGAATAAGCGAAAAACATTTACAGTCGGGTAACTATTGTATAGTAATTTAGTTCACAGAAGGAAACGTAGCATTGCAAATATGTTACTGTATCCGTTCTTAAAATAGTGCAATAATTATAATTTTCATGATTCTATCTGTACAATACATACGTAAATTTATGCTTGTATTACCTAATTAATACCTAATTACCGACTGAACTTACCGGCTCTCACGGTGCCGGTGTGTTGCGTGATATCCGAGATAAACACCAAACGATACAAAAATTTGGCGAAGGGATTATAGCACAACGCCTGGCATATGTAAATAACATACGAAACTCCGCCCAGCACCGCACCCAGCACAATTCCCCAGGGTGCCGTGCCGCTAAAGACGGATGCCGACAGAATCAATAAAACAATTCCACCAATGACACATAGGAGGACCAGTGCCCTCCAAACCGTGCGACACCGGCAGAAAATCCGCCGCAATGGTCGTCCCAAATCCTGCCATTCTTTCATGACCTTTTCCTCCACAATCTCATCGGAGGAAAAGGAAATCCGGCAATTAACGACGTTATCGTACGACGGCGGCGGCAACTCAACGACATCTTCGTATAAAGGAGGCGGGGTCACGTATAATTCCCCGGGAAGGCTGGATTCCGATACCGTAAAGGATATTGTCGGTAACGTTTGGGACTCCATCAAAACAACATATATTCAACCGCGGAAAAACCGTTGAGCTTAACACCGGCACAAATATGTCATGTATGTGTCATGTCGGTTTTGTTGCCGGTAAATATATCGATAATAGAACGGTGCGTGTGATTAATGGAGAAAGGTATTGTTTTTATGTGCAGTCATAAACAGAATTTCGTCTCTGGTGAATGAATACGCGATGTACCGGTGACTATGTTGAGGAAATCTGTCTGGGTGTGCGGAAAATGTGTACGCTTGTTGTTCGCCCGCCGGCGACGGATATTCCGGTTTCTGGCGGTGTGTTGTTACGCTTTGTTTCTCCAATGGTGTGCCAATGTTTTGGACACGTTTATGGCAGGTGTGAGATGTGTGGATAAGTGCGCTCGTAGGAAGGTGATAATGAACGTATGAAAATACGAAAATACTAATGCTTAATGCAAAATGATTCCTTTGGTTGTGATTCAGCCGTTTCGGTATTTGACACCTTGTGAGTGATCTGTTGACAACTTGGCTTATGTATAAAAGGACGATGATAGAAAAATAGGAGGTCTGCCAATGGAATGGTATATTGTTTGTCGGCGATTGCTTTTTAAATTTTGTGTTGTGCGTTGTAATGGCGGTAATTGATGCTCATAATTATTCGAAGATAAATGTCATGAAAAACAATGAAATCAATCAAATATAAATCTCAAAATTCGCGCTTTGTTTTCCGCTCGGTCAAAAGTGATCCGTAAACTGCGGTAAATCTGCTGATTAATGACATTAAATCCGATAAATAATAATTTTCATAAATATTCGATAGCATTGCTTTGTTTATGATTTTCTAAATAAGTACACCATTTTCTAAAACCACGAACTTTTACCAACAGCAAAATTTCGAACAAAATTTTAGCACTCGAGATCGCTAAAAAATGTACACGGCAAAAACAGCAGAATTGCAAAAGCAAAATTAATTATTGTTCACAAACGATTTGAAGAGATCACCTTGAGAAAGGCAGATTAAAAAACAGTCGGGGCGGCAAACGTAGAGGCAATCGTACTTATACAAAGTAGCGTAATTTATTTGATCCGTCCACGCGAAGTGGGAAAGGGTCAAATCCCGCGAATCCCTGAAAGAAAAAAAATTGACATTCTACCATGGAATTTATCGCTAGCGCAAAAAACGAGACGGGCAGTAAAAATAAACGCTGCTAACATCTGCTTACACATCTGCTACCACGACATCCTCGCCGTCCATTTCCCGCATGCCTTCGCTGAACTGGGGACTTTCACTTGTATCCAGCTTCACATTCAGTAAATTATCCGGCTAACAACAAAATATATACGTTATAGCTACTTAGCTTACTGTGAAAAATTAAAAAAGCAATTCGTGTAATACTGTACAATTATATATTACTAGAAAAATGCACGTTAGCGTGCATTCGCAGACCGGAGCGTGACTTAAGGGAAATGACCAGGGAAATGGTACCAAATTGGTGTACATACACGAAAAACTTCCGCTTTCGCGCACTCGAGCTCCAAACACCTTGTTGCCTTGTTTTCATGGCATTGTAGGACCGAGTAGTTTGTATACACGGGCGTGAAAACCGTTTGTGCTCAGAATATCCGGATGGGAATCGTGGTTAGCAGGTAAAACAAAATTCCAAATGTTAAAACAAACCGAGGTGTACCAAAAGCCTCGTTATCAACTGATCTTCTATACATTTTTCAAAAAAAGCACCCCAACGTGTAAATTTTTTATACAACGTGCTAGGTTAGTATCGTTTTTAAAATTAAAAGAAACATTTCTAGAATTTTTAAAATTCATTTTATTACATTGCAAACATCGCGAATTAAAACCTGGTTCGGTGAAAAAACGGTCTTTCTGCCACTGTGCATTTTCATACAAAATTTGAAAATATCGGTCCATACTGAGGCTTTTGGTATACCTAAACACTTTCAAACATTTTGGAATTTCGCTAACCGGATGTTGCGCAACTTGCGCGCAAAAATGATTTTCACGCCAGTTTGTTTTTACAGGATACAAATCACTGCTTAGTCTACCCTGTGAAATAAGTCAATGAAAATGTGTTTTTGAGTGCGCGAAAGTAAAAATTGTCGTGCCTGTACACGTATTTTGTGCCAGTGTACCGGGTCACTTCCCTAAAACGAAATTACGCGCGGTGCAAGTGCGGTGCAAGTACGCGGTCTAAGGCTACTGTGTATGCCATAAACTAACCGAAAACCCATGCCGGTCCTTGGTCGCATCATCATGACCTGCTATTTCAGCGATGGTAACGTACAAGGGATGGGAGGAAGTTTTTCAGGGAGAAATTTTTGCCGGGAGCCATTGCTGCTGATTACACTCATAATGTGTATTATGCAGATGCGTGGAATATATATGTATGTGTACATGTAGTGAACAATGCGTCACGGTGGTGAGCTACTTATATGGTATAGTGGTATAGGCTCACAGCAACAGGCACCACCATTGTCATTTGGTTAAATACCCTGCCGACATAGCGTTATTCCGAGGGTTGCTAGCTGTAGATTTTGTAGCCGCTACGTCATGGGCAATGGCAGCCAACTACGACGTCATAAATGCTGGCTGCGATTACGTCGTACCGGTCAGCTGCATGATGTCGTAGTCTCGCTTCCGTATCCAACTTTCGTAACGCACTTCCGTAACACACTTCCGTAACAAACTTCCGTAACGAATTTTCGTAACGGACAGAAATCAATCAATGCATTAGTCTTGAATATAGAGGACCTTCGCTACGCTCCGGTCGATCGTTATCTTTTTAATATTGTTTCTAAACGTTTCTTTATCGTATTTACCAATAAGAATCCATAAATCTCTCGCACTTTCTCTTGCCGGTATGGAAAAACATAAACTTACTGTATAAGGGTGGTCGTGTCACTCGTGTGATATCGGACACTTCTCGTTGGTCCAATGAAAGGCGTAACCATCGTCCACCTATTCAACGATTTGAGTTTGTCCCCTTTTTTTCACAGAATTTGTAAGATATCTTGATCTTAACCTGCGCGATTAGAAAAAGTATTTAAAATCAGTCCCACATTAATGCTTCTTTTTAGCGCAAAACTTCCAGCTGATCGCCGGTATTTTCGTTAAAATGCTGTGCAATATCCTCCTCGGCTTGCAGATCCGTTTGTGAAACGGCTACGTGTTGCTGCAGCTGTTGGGAGAAAAATAAAATTCTTAATATTGCTACACCGAAAAAAAAACCGATATATACCAAAGTGTTTTATACAAAGGGTAATTTTTTCGCAAGAAGAAAATAAAAAATAATTCCGTACTTTATTGATTCGCAGTTGAATACTTTCGATACCAGACTGGACAATGTTTAGTGTTTACGGTTGCGTTCGCTTCCCGTGCGTCTTCCCCTTCTCGTTGCAGTGCCTCCAAATGGCTTCCTCTCTTTTCTTAAGATTCGAACAACGCTACTTCAGAGAAAACCCTGATAAATAAAAAATACTGAGCTTCATTTACGTAATTTCCAAAAATGCACATCGTTTTCCAGAACTGAAATTTTTATAGATATTCACCAGACTTGCTGTTCATATTTGAACATGTTTCACAACCACGGATTTTTACTAACCGTAAAAACGGTACGAAATTTCTGGTATTCGAGATCGCTCACAAACGCACGGCAAAAACAGCAAAATCCCAAAAGCAAAAATTAAATATTGTTTACAAACAATTTGAACAGATCACCTTGAGAAAGGCAGATTAAAAACACCAATCGGGGCGGGAAACGTAGAAACCATCCTATTTACACAGCGATTTATTTGATCCATCCACGCAACGTGGGAAAGGTCAAATCCAGCGAATCCCTTAAAGGAAAACCGTCCACGATTTTCCATGCCAGAGACACACTAGAATTTATCGCTAGCACGCATTTCTCAGGTATCGATAAAAATGACGAGACGGGCATCAATTCCGTGCAGTATAAAATTAATAACGCTGATATTACAAAATCGAACGTCACTGAAATGCACCACCAGCCTGGCCGTTTTTGTGGGAGTACCGCGCCGATTGTAATTGTTTTCTTTTTCATAATACAGAAATTTTGAAGACGTCCGTGACACCGGTCGTTCGATCGTAAACACACTGAAAGAATGCAACACAATGCCAATTATTAAGATAAAAAATCATATTTTTGAAGGTTTTCTCATACTCCGCGTCGATAACCAATCATCTTTCAGTTCCGCGTTGTCCAATGCATCTGCTAATAAATCCGCTACCACGGCATCTTCACCGTCCAGCTCACGCGTGCCTTCGCTAAGCTGGGGACTTTCGCTTACATCCAGCTCCACATCCAGTAAATTATCCGGCTGATAAAAACATGTACGAGCCATAACGTACATTATTGGTAAAGCTGATTAAAATTTATTTATGCAGGCATTTGCGGTCAAAGACTCAAAGTACACGATGACATGCTGCCACATGTTTGTTCTGCGCCATTACACTACGCTCCACCACCATCGCCACCCAATCACCTGACGCGCTTTATACAGTTGTTATATCATACCACAACGTATCTTCGAACTTACTATTTGATTTCTATCGTGATTTTTATGATTGTAACAAAGCCAAATAC